GAGGCGGAGGGGGTTGGGGCCGTAGGGGCGCAGGCGAGGCGGCAGGGTAAATGTTTACCCCCTTTCTTTCGCCGGGCTTTGTCAGCTTCGGCTAAGGCTGAGGTTGGTAAGTTATCTTTCAACACACTGCATCTTCGTCCGTCTCCTCCCCCAACCTCGCCAAGTGCTCTGACGCACCCTCGCCCTCGCTCGCAGAATGCAAAGACATCGGACCCTGCGGGCCCTCCCCTCGGCTGTCTCATCACGGCCGGCCCCTCCCCATCACTCCCATCTACTATTCTGGAAGAAAATGCAAATTTAATGCAAGTTTAAGCAGAGCGCAGGCACACACTTCAGACGGATCGCCACGGATCAATAGATTTTAACATGCGGATGGGTTGCACAGGGAAAGCTTTGCATTCCTGCCTGGAATAAAACTTGATTGAGAAAACAAAAATTGCTACTTTGTCAGGTAAAATTTAAAATGTTCGTACGCACCGATAGTAATTGAGGACCTGCGCGAAAACACCTGGGTGCCTGTCGAAGAAGTACTCGTTGAGTATGGGGTCGTAGTTGGCCAGCGCCTCGGTGAGGCGCGACAGACGCGTTGCGGGGATCTTCTTGAGCGTAGCCTTGTACGTCTCGTGTCGGATGCCGCCGCAGTTGAGAACCACGCGGTTCTCCGCGTCCATGTTTAGAAGATTCATCGTTGTCCCCGCCACTGCGAAGGCTTTTCTCTAAACCGGTACAAGCGTTGAGACGACTCGTCACTCGGCGGCGACGGACCTCCACTCTGTGACGAACAAATAAATCCAAGTTAAAAAAAAAAAAAATAAAAGGGACAGACTTGTCCCCCCCCCCAAAAAAAAAATGAAAAAAAATGAAATGAAATACACAGTTTTTTTTTCGGTTCAAGGACATCCCCAAAATTTAATACGGGTTGAGAGAGGAACATTTCTTTTAAAATTTCTGTGAGTGAAATGACGTGATGTGAAATTCATTTTAAATTACTAAGACAAGTAAAGAGGTAAAATATAGAAAATCATCTCTCGTACTCACCTCCCGTAACCCTGGTGCGCTGCCGCTGGGCGCCGCTATGGCGGGGCGCTGCCGGCGGCGGGGGGCTCGCGCCTGGGCTCGTGTTGGGCGCCCCTGAGCGCCCCGCGGCCCCCGCCGCCCTTCGGCCACCGGGGCCCCAGCACCGCCGCGGGGACCATCGCCAGCCTGCCAAACGCACAAAGGCACAACACGGCCATGGTTAGTCATGACGAGCAAACACCCTCCTCCCCTCCTCCTCCTCAGCAGCATCAATGGCGCCACGGCTTGCGACCACCTCGCGGTCCTCTCTCCCGACCGCCAAGGTCGCCGCCGTGCCCCCGCGAGGCCCGCGGTGTCAAGGGGTTTATTATACAGGTGCGTTCGCGACCGCGGCAGCCCGTCTCTCGGCGCTCCGGGCCATCACCTCCCCACTCCCCTTAGCCCCCCC